AGTGGAAAACAACAGCAAGGACCAAGACACGTGCCGACCTTTTCATCTCGCTATGGCTGCTTCTTTTCATACGATTCTCCCACGCAAAACTCCGTAACTGACCAAACAGTACAGAATCTGTACAACGCTGCATTTCTAATAATGCCTTCACAGCAACCTTTTAAAGGAAAACATGGATGTGTCAGTATGCGTCAACGGTAGCACAACGGGGCTCCAATGACACTGAAAATCTCTAATAGGATAAATGACACAGATATCTAAAATTGAAAAAGCAGAACTGAAACTATTTAAGCAAGAGGTGAATACTAAATATGGACATTTTCAAAAATGTAAGTTTCTCTCTAATCCTCAGAGCAGACTCATAGACCCTGAGGACACAGCTTAACTGAAAAGACGTCATGTTGTGGGAGTGGGAGGGGTTTGTATTGCTGAGGGTTGATTACATACTGAATCTACAGCATGCAACATGCAGCCAGTGCTGAAGAAAACAAAGGTTTCGTAAAAAGCCTGAAAGGAAGGTGAAAACTTGACAGATTTTTTTTTCATATTTCGATATGTCTAATGATCGGTGCACCAGTGAAAACTTGATATAAAGCATCCTGCAGCAGTGGTTGAATTTTTATTTCAAAGAAACAAGACACAGGTCAGATGCTTCACTTGTGAAACACAGTTGTGCTACAGGATGGAAAAAGGCCATGTAAGAGAACAAAATGGGTGCCAGTTATCAGAGCAGGGCTGGAATGCATGAGTCACTGAGAAAAAGAAAGCTGTGTTCAATATCAAAAGCACTGATCTGTGGTGTGGTGTGAGGTACAATTTTGAGGAAGCCAAGTGAGACAGTAACCCTAAACCACACGATTGCATTTTACACAAAACATGCAGATACAGGATGTGCAGAGAGTATGCAACATACCCGATGCTGACGTTTACCGACATGCAGTGTGCTCTCTTTCCCAGTGCAATCAGGGCACCTTTGCTTACAAACCCTGTTTTACTTGCCTGATGTACAATGATACTGTCCATGCTTCCTTATCATTTAAAGCTAGATCAAATGTTCAGGGCCCAGCATAACAGACTGAGAACACAAACAAGCCTGCACAAGCTGTAAACAGCCACAATCTCTCCAGCATTGAGAAGTACAGTGCTTCAGTGCATTTTACAGACGAGTCCTCAGTGATGAGTGAGAAAGATAACAGGAGGGGAGAAGAATTACTGAAACTGTTGGACAGATTGTTTTTTTCTTTAAATAACTACTAAAATCTGAACAGAAGGGGGGGTAGTTGGCTTCCCTTGACCACCAGGGAAAAAATGCCACAGGGTCTGATCAGAGGCTTTTGGGATGAAACAGAGCTGCTCTGGGACACACTGTTGCCCCATCTGGTGCAAAATGTCCCAAACGAGTTCTCACTGAAAACAAAGAAATGTGGGGCAAAAGGAAGCTGGCAGGAAGACAGACCATGCACCAGTGTTCATTAATACTTCCGCTTTCTAGTTCATTTTGATAAATTATGACACCACCAGCAGAATATGAAAACGTTTCAAGATTTATGGGCTGGATTACCCGGTGAAAATTACACCTAAATTAAAACTGCATGAATAAACAAACGCACCGACGTGGCAAATGCATGTGACACTAAATGCACAATGGCACGATTCACATGAAAGTCTTCACTTCTCTCTGCTAATAAAAGCTGCCCCACTGCACAAAACACTTGGGTTCATCTTGTGCACTTGCACTAATCCGGTGTGTAATTCATCCTTCGTCCAAACATTGGGATACGTTTCATCACTGTCAGTGTCTAATGACTTTAAATCCATGACTCTGAAAAGACCACAGCCCTTTGCATATTTTCTTTTAAATTCTCTATGGTAATTGTAATGGTAAAGGTCACTTAAATTGAATTCCTATAGAATGCATCTGCTGTGTCTATTGCATCCCCTTCTCCTGAGAAAATTCCAACAAAGATAGGTTAGCATTTCTTCTTTATCAAACTCACAATATATAACAGCCTATAGCTTGGGTGTAGTTTATAAAACTACATCCTTGGAAATATACTTAAAGTTAGCCTTTGTCATTTGCTCAACAGAATGCTTGATTTTGAATACATAAGAAAATGCATTAGGAAAAACAAACCCTGCTTAAACAGCTTTAGCTTGTTATTTACATTCCTGTGATCTATACAAATCTCATATCAACTTAAATGAACTCGGGCCCTTTTGAAAGATTCTTGGTGAAAGTAGAGGCACTTGGAGCCAGGCAATTATTCATGGACTAAACGGTGGATTGAAAAACAAAGGAAAACGCACAACTCACCACTGCAATGAACAAAGATAGGTCTAAAAAAGAGAGCTGCAAAGTTCAGGACAAGCAGCTTCCACTTCATAACCAGCAGAAAAATCATTTACATCAAGTCTGAGTCATCGATTTTGTAAATGAGATACATAACGGTTTGGAGATGACAAATTTTAAGCCGCAAGTTTGTTTTTTTTATCATAAGTTCTGCATTTTGGCCATTGACATCGCTTCCACTCCTTGCTCAGATGTCATGGGCGGGAAGTGGAAGTGAATCTTTACCCATTACGAGGAGTCACTTGTCAGTCATTTATTGGGTAACAACTTGTCATAGTCATTTTCTGCTTATCATGTGTTTTACGTCAATTTAAACCTTCAATAACCCTTAGGGAGTGAGAACGTGTTGGCAATAAATATGGCTTGAAACTTGTAAATAAGGCCAAAAATAAAGAAATGTATACAAAAGAAAAGTATACTGAGGTCATAAATCGGGAGAGAAGTAGGGTTATTTTCTCTTAAAGTTCTCTCTTCTTGGCTTCTGCTGATCTGCTCATGCATTCCCCATCGTTTTTCAGAAACCGAGGAATCTTTTACATACAGACTGTGATCTGCTTAGCAATAAGATGATCGCCACGTCATATTTATATGCATTTTTCTGCCGACGTGATGTTTCACATCAAAACTGATCTTATCCTTTCTGTGAAAGAAGCGTGATCATCTTCAGGACCGGAGAAAAACCAGTGTTTGAAGCTGTTAATCCCGCTGTGCTCACATTTACACGTAATCAAAGCCTCATTGAAAAAAATCTTTCTCCTCATACTTGACAGAAATATTATTCATTCATAGCTCTGCTTCTTCAAGATGCGAAATGAATGCCTCATCAGCCCAGTATGAAGAGAGACGTTGACGCTACACCAGTTAGAAGTTTGATATGATAGATCAACTTGGGCTGGCCAGAGTAATTCATCAAAGTGCTTCAGTCACTCCAGAAATCTGTTGTGGGTAGAAATCTTTAAAAAAGAGCTTGAACAAAAACAGTGAGGCTGCTAGAGGCCACGCACGCTACCCTCAGTCGAGGCATTTAAATCATTTTAATCATCCATCCCACTCACTGTATAATAATATACTGCAGTGAGAAAGAGAATCCCCACCACACTTACGCCTACGACTCGCCTTCCCACATAGACTGTGTCAACTTACAAACAGCTACACATCCTGTCACAGACACACACACACACACACACTGTATATATCCTGCCGCGCCAATGTAAACAACATGACATGATATATAAGCTTTAAAAATAAGTGTTCTTTATGGATGATAGCAATTATTAATTTCATCACGGGTTGTTCTTTAATTTATTTTTTCAATGAGTGCTTAGTAGTTCATGATATGTAATTAAAAAAAAGATGACGTCTTCACATTGCTTGCACAGTTAACTGCCCTTAAATCCCACAAATATGAGATGTATGGTGACACAAATCATTTAAGTTGATGGTCGCTATAGGATGCGTGGCATTTCTGCTTGATAAATGTCTCAGCTCTTTAAACACTTCATTAATTCCCTGGCATTCATCTAATCAATGAACTGCTCCAGCCAGCACTAGTGCTCTTGACAGATTTCCCATCACCTCTGCATTGTCCTGCTACTTAAGTTCTCTTTCGCCGATTAAGTTCTCTCAGCGTTTGAGACCACTGCAGCCACTTTGCTACCTGTGCTCAATTAAAAGCTCAATTACAGTAATTAAAATCCCTTGTAGTAGCTACTGTGCACATTAACTTAACCAAGCCGAAAGTTAAGGGGGAAGGAGGTTAAAGTGAGGTGATTCACACCGAGGGGCATGTGTCAGCCACTAACCAAGCACATCACATGACTCCATAAAGCACCAGCATATTCTAATTTAAATGTCTACCTCCTGCAAATTCTTTCAGGCAGTTAAAGATAAATGTGCAGGTGTTTTCAGATCCTGCTTGACTGTGAGGTGCGCCTTTACGCGCAATCGCAAAAAGATGCCGTCTCACTCCCAAACACCCCCGGTCAGGCTGGCTTCGCGGCAGGCATCAGTGGTCGGTCTGGTGTTGTTGGACAAAGAGAGGACCGCTCCGTCCCTCCAGAGGCTTCCCCTGCTCTCATTGGTCAGCAGGAAACCTTTTGTTTGGTCTCTCACGGTTGAAAATCCTGCATCTCATGAATGGAAGCCACATTTTCTCGCAGGAAATGTAACCAAAGACCTCGCTGTGGTTACTTTGGAATAAAAGCGACCGCTTCACTGATTGCGACTCGAATAAGATTTCCTCGATAGTTTTGCGAATGATCTCCACGATGTTCGCCCACGATTGGCGCTCTTTTCGGTAACTCTCAGGAGCGGCGGCTCTCTCCGCCGCTTTAAAATGAGTCAAATCTTGGGTTTGATTAGAATACATAGTGACCTATTCATTCCCTTTAGGGAGAGCGGGCGCCTCTGCGCTGAAAGGAGTCCGTTATACTTATGATGTCTCCGTAGCTATACACTGTGCGCGCACAGTCAAATCAGCCATAAACTTTTCCATTTCTGCACCCGCTCCCTTCAGACACACAGCCAGAGAAGCGAGTGCATAAACTATTTTGAACTGGCGCAGACAACAGGTTTCACAGCAGAAAACTGATGTTAAAAAGGTTAAACAGCCGTGAAAATACAGCAGGCTGCTGTGTGAAATAAAACCTACCATGAGTTTATTTGTGCCGGCAGCGCTCGCACGTCCGGTCGGATCAAACAACTTCTCATAGCCGGCTCATATTCCCTGGTCAGTGGTCACGAGATTTAAAGGCATTTGTAAATCCATGCAATTGTTCTGTTTTCTTCTTCTGCGTCTTTCCTTCACGGGCGGTTACATGAGAACAAGTTAAAGCATGCGAGCCAGGCTGTGTGACAGTCTTTCTTTCGCTTCTGCCTCTCGCTCAGGCTCCCAACGCGAACAGTGGGAGTCAGTCTCTCTCTCTCTCTCTCTCTCTCTCTCTCTCTCTCTCTCTCTCTCTCTCAGTCTCTCTCTGGTGTTGTGTGATGCTTGGGTGAGAGGTCAAACGGATGACACGCGGGTTTCCTAAGAAGAAATGTAGAAATCAGTTCTAACTGTGGAGTCTGGGACCTTAAGCAAAAATTCACAGAAAGGGAGCGATGACCCTGCAAAGAGTCATCACTATTGTGTTATAAATAAGCTGACACCAACAAAATAAATTTGAAATAGAAACTGTTTAGATTTCCAAAGTTACCTACTATAATTTTCAATGTAACATGAAATGTACAAATAATAACATAAAAGACGATTTAAAGAAGAATTAAAACACAATTATTTAAATAACTTAACTCTAGAAATGGCAGAGGTGGTTCTGCCGGGATCTTCTTTGTCTTTACATGCCAAAAATCCGTGATGCATTTGCTGTGGTGACACTTGGGAAATAAGAGCGCATCTGAAATGACCTTCTAGACTGGAGAGGACATGTTTATTTCCAAAACAATGCCCTACACCACGCAGACTGGTTATAAAGTATTGACATAAATAGTAGCTTTTCAGCTCTGCTGCTCGTGTCCTAAATCCAACGAACTAAGTTAACAAATGTCAGACATCAAAGTAAACAAAGGAAACGATGCGATGCTAGACAAAGTTATCCTATTCAAGTGCTTCTTCCCCAAGGCGGGTTCTCTAACTAGGTTCATTATGAGTGATTTACATCAGCAAGTGTAAGCATGTTTAGATTACTATGAATTTCAAAAAATAATCAGTGTTTTTTAATCCAACTGAAATATATAAATATGTATAAATAAAATATATCCTAAGAATAAAAAGAAAAATAATTAAATGGCTTACTCTAGAAATGGCAAGAGTGGTTCTAGTAGTAGTTAGCACATTTCCCTTTTAGACCTAAATCCCTGGTTTGATTCTGGGAGGAGACACAAGCATCCAGTGTAAAATATGTGACAGGTGGATCAATCTGTGGTGACCCTTGGGAAATAACCCAGAATCTGAAATTGCCTTCTTCACTAGAAACAGCCAACACCATTCGTGCCCTAAGACCACGCTCACTGTTTATGAAGTGATAATACTGTAAAAATAGTCTGATCGTACTAGGCTGCTCATCCAGCTAATTTAACTAGCTAAGCTTTCCATGATGCACTGAGCGTTTCTCCTTCATTTATCTGTTTTCAAACTCTGTCTGTTTATACACCACTAATTATTTCTAATGATTAAATAAAGCAAACTCTGTCCTACAGTTTCCCTTTTGTCCTGTTTCTCTCTGCTCTCTTCTCTTTCCCTTCATCCCCCAAACCGTCACAACAGATGGCCGCCCCTCCCCGAGCCTGGTTCTGCCTGTTAAAAGAGAGTTTTTCCTTCCCACTGTTGCCAAGTGTTTGCTTATAGGGGATCATGTGATTGTGGATGGTTCTTTTGAATTATGTAGGGTTTTTTCTACCTTGCAATATAAACCACCTCAAAGCAGTTATTGGAGTCAGATGGGAGGTAAATTGTCTGGTACTTATATAGCATCTTTCATTCATCCAACCACACTCATTCATTTATCTGACATGATGCTAACTAACATGATAACAAATGCATCAGGGACAACTCAGGGTTTAGTATCGTGCCCGAGGACTGGAGGAGGTCGGGATCAACCCATCCACCTTCCGATTGTTAGATAATCGATTGCATGAGCCATGACTGCCCCTAGGTCAAGGTTATGCTATTGACAGCTGTAGTTTAAAGTTTGTCCATCCTAATTATTGGCTAGAATAAACACTATAAAACTTAAAATAACTATTTATCCCGGTAAATGTGTTTACATAGTCAACAAATGCCAAAAGATTAAAAACTACAACAAGATGTGGTCGCCATAAATTCTATAGTCACATAGAGCAGAGTGTACATTGAAAGGGTTTTTTTAAAGTATCATGATAGTTCTGTTTTGGTTTTTTTAAAAAGTGAGGCAAGATCACAAAAGCAAATCTGTCCCCACAGAGTCTCATGAAAAAAAAGGCCCAAATTTGTCTTATCCAGCTTCCTTATTCATTAATTTATGAATAAGGAAGCTGGATAAATATTACCTGATGATTTATGGGATTAAATATGTGTGCAGTGCACTTCTTCCTACTCCTTTTCGATATGTAAACCAAATCAGAATAGGTGGAGCAATTTTGGAGTGTATGTAATGGGAACATGTGAAATAACCAATTCTAGGTTATGTAGGTTACTCGTGCCAGCTCTGCATCTTAAGAAAAGGGCAAAAAGTTTATGTTTTCCATATTTCTGAGTCTATAAAACACAATGGAAGTACATGGAATTACTTGGACATTGCACTGATGAAAAATTTCAGGCTTGTTCTGATGGGTTTTTCCCATTTATTTTCCTATAACCTAAGAAATAAAAACGGGTTTTAAGAAAATGTGAAAGCACATATTTGTTAACATGTTTAAATATTGCATTGGCATAGACCAACAGGGACAAAAAGCAGCGAGAAACTGATTGTGCAAAAATGTTTTGATCTTTTGATGAGATTTTTATGAAATATTATTGTAGTAAATAACATAGAAGTGGAATAGTAATCATAATAGTGAAAATAATGTGTTATAAAACATCATAAACCTGCTACTGTTCAATTCATCACTGGACTGCTGTGAGGCTTTTTTCTTCAGAGACGGGAGTGACAGTGTGTAAAATGGGATGCCTTTAAACAACAGTATTCTGTTTGCCCCAAAGAAAAATGAATATAGCATAATACACTTACTTAAAAAAAAAAAAGACACAAAGACCACAAGTGACACATTCATGTTCTTGGGCTTATTTATTTAGTTATTTTTAATCTTGGTGTTTCAAGAACAAGCGTGCATTCTTATATGATGAAGACCAACAGGGAGATGCAATCTCAGCCAGAGATGTGGGAGATGATTCATCGTGACACATCTGGAGGATTCAAAGCTAAACGGGTAATAGCTTGACTGTGGTGACCGTACAGCACATGGACACACTTCTATCTGCAAGCAGCTGGGTGGTGGTGGTGGTGGTGGGGGTCCAGTTAAGAGAGCTCTCAGCTGGAAAATGTGTTGTCTCATATCGTGTTTCACTGATGCTGCCGTAATTCTGTAACTGCTGTCACTGAGTCAGCAATCACATCATCATCGCAATCATTGCACTGGATACCATTAAGCCTTCAGACGCTGTCTTCCACATGCTGGTTTCATAAGCTTCCAACGTCCATTACTGCTAATAGACAAGATACCCAATAGGTGTTATAGATTTTCAAGAATTTCATCTTCTCGCAATATGAATTTTTCCTGACTGCTGGCTGCATTTCACTCATGGATAATATTAATGTAATCCACTACTGAGACCAACAACATGATGACGATGATTATGAGGAAGGTGGTAGGCCTGTTTTTTTTTCTTCAGAAAGTCACCCAGATCATATGAGCCACCCTGCCTATCAGAAACTGCCTCCACTTTGTTTATGCCTGGTGGAAATCAGAGAAAAAAGGAAACAGATGCAAAAAAAAAAAAAAAAAAAAAAAACCAGCTGGTTTTTGTTTGTTTTATCTTCCTGTGTTGTTTTTTTATTTTGTGTATTAGGTCACATGTAACTCTGAGGACAGGGCAAAATATGTGCGTTCATTTGCAAGCAGCTTTTTCTTTGAGCTAGTTCAAGTACTGAATGGCAAGGTATTCGTACCACAACCTGATGTAATTCAGTTTGTCAGTGGTATTCGATTTATTATTTCATCACACACATCCTAGGATTGCTTTTTTAAAATATGGCTTGCCAAAGATCAAAGTGCTAATTTTTGGCAGCGTTGCTAGAAATGACTAGCTCCTTTATAAGCATTAACATGTCACTGCAATATTCAATCAACAGTGGGGCAGTGGAAAGCAGTATCTTTAAACCTTCAAATTTGATCAAAGGACTACAAAATATTCCATGAATTCAAGTTCTCTTCATATATTTTCAAAATTGGAGCCAAGGTAGATCAAATTGAAAAGCTTCTTTTTTGCAGTTTAGTCAAATATAACTTTGTTGCACTTTCTGCTTCAGGTGTGCAGTAGTTCAGTAGCTGTCACACTTTGATTGAGATGAGAACATTTCTTCTATCCCAATTTAACTAAACTCTACAAAGAGTCTCTGAACTGAGCGAGACGCTTCACGGTTTGTCTGTTAAATATCTACCATTGAGTCATTCTATGACCCGCAGCACTACCAAATCTTAACATGGTCTCTTTTGTATTCTGCATAATAGGAAGGGTTTAATTTGTTGCAAAGAACTCAGCAGGACAGTCAGATGAGATTTGAAGCAGAGGCTTTTGCGCAAGCCTGTTGGTGAGAGGGGGTGGAAATGATGTCTGATAAAATCATGAGTCATGATAATTGAAGGATAAATGCTGAGCTCATGCATAAATGATTGGGTTTCCATTGAATACAGTCTGTTTCCAGTATTGGTCATGAAAGGGGGGGTAAACTGTGTTTATTTCGTGCTCTGTGAAGATGTGTTTGTTGCTAAGTCTGGTTTAAACTCCAATGGGGTCAGGCAACTTCTGCCATGCCGTTCTTTCCAGCCTGCGCATTACTCATCTCTTTCATTTCACGTTGTGTGAGTGAAGGCTGAGCAGTGATTACAGCCTGACCCTGGCAATATGTGTGCGCTGTTCAGCACTAATATGAGGACTAAACAAAGACCCTGGGATGCAATTTCAAAGATTGAATAATGATTTTATTATTTCTCGGTGACAGTCGTGCCCTCAGGCATTATGTTTTTGAGTTGGTAGTCCCATTCACAAAAAGGCAGTATTTCTTTATTCAACACAAACATTCATTTGGACTCAAGGATGAACTGATTAGAGTTTGATTTGGTAAAAGGTTTAACAAATGCCTCATAGCTAGAATGATAAAAGGTCAAACCTCAACCTCACACTGACACACACTGAATCTTCAGCAAAT